GACAAAAGTCTCAAAGACTATTTGAATTAATGTGGTTCACAGCAGTTATAATAAGACTTTCTCATCTTCCCCTGCAATCCTCTAAAATAATTTGAATGCCCAAGGATCTAACATCTAGCTGCAATATGCAAAGCAATGTGCAAATGAAGGTCTCCTGCACCCATCACACTCACTCAGTCTCCCTCTTTCTCACAGCAACTTATTCCATGAACATCCTTATGATGCTGCTCTCAGCAAACTCGTAATAAGTATACTCTACAGTATAGTGATGTGAGTGGTGCTGCTCTAAAGAGGGTGCAGAGAATGGAGTCATTGGAACTGAACCCCAACTTTGGGATATGGAGAAGGATTGTTAAGAAATATTAAAAGCTTAAATCTTCAATTGTGATCACCAATACTGAGCAACTCAGAGAAGATATCTGTTCTAGCTGAAAGGAAATATTCAGCCTCTTAATGATTTTCAAAAGAAAAATATATCCAGAGAAAACTGAGAATGATAAAACCTATAAAAACAAAATAAATTTGCACCCTGCATGTCATTCAATATCTCTCAAAAAAGACTCAACAGGACTATTCCTGATATTTCAATGAGGACCTAACAGCTGATATAATGTTGGGGTGTGAGCCTAAAATCTGTCAACTGATTAAGAATCCAATTTGAAAAACCGGAGTCAGTCTTCACTAATGCTCCACAAAAGCAGCCTCTCTGAATGACTAAAAACATCTCATCATCCATACAATAAAAAAGAAGAGAGACAGAGGTCCTCCGCCAGAGAAAATTCCATTACAAATCTGGGAACTAAATGAACATATAAATGTGATACTGAATAGCCGAATCCTAATGGCATCATCCTAAAAAAGAAAGAGAAATGGCTCCCAACTAGGAATGTTAGAAACTTCTTTAAATGGAAAAGAATAAATCTATTCATTAGAGCTATAGATATTGTCCAAATTTATATATCGTGAACTCAACTTTCACTGTTCAGGAGACCTGTGCAACTTTTGCAGGTGAATACAGTTAATGCATTTGGCCTTCCTTTCTTCAAGCAGCCCATAAGGAAATGCTCATGATCAAGGTTACCATACAGTAATTATGTTAAATATAATTCAAGTAGAGGACTCTCTTTAAACCAGTGAACCTGATGATACAGAGCTTGGCATAATGCAACATACAGTACCTTATTATCTACCATTATATATTGGTAAGCCCATATCTACCACTGTCAATGCTGGCCATCTCTTCACTAGAGATGGGAGAATTGTGTTGAACAACCATTTACCAAGATTTTATTTTATTTTTTTAATTATTGACTTTTTATTTCTCAACAGATTGTTGTCTGGCAACTCTCTACTCAACTTACAAGCCTACTAAAGTCACCTTTCAATTGAATGAGAAGAGGAAGAAAACTCTGAAGTAAAAAACACATCGATAACACATATTGAAGAGAGGGAAAGAAATAAGACCATGAGGTATCTGAAAGCTTCCAGTGCTCCACTTCTGCTGATACCAAAAGAAGGGCTCGAGCTCCTCCAACTGCTTATTATCATACAAAGAAGATATAAAATCGCCTGGAAAATATAGAAAAATGTATTACAGTAACTCTAAATAATACAGTACTGTACCATGTATCCCAAGACCCAGGAGCTAGACTTTAAGTTTGGAAATCTCTCCGTTTAAGATCAACACCTCCAATTGAGAATCATATCGACTAGAGGAAATGTTAGCAACCTAATGGCTGTATCCTCAGCAACAATCTAAATGGCTGCAGGCAAAATGCTGGATGCAAACACTTTGAAAGAAATATGAAGAGAGCAGAACGAAGTGTTTTACAAGTCAAGATCCCCCCCATTCAACATGATATGAAAATGACTCCTTTGGAGAGAGGTAAGTGCAGTAGCAAAGGAAATACAAGTGGGTGTTGGGAATTTTACTCTTGACCTGTGTTTTGACATTACCTTATATCCTAGCACACAAAATTGGGCAGTATGTTCTGAGCCAAAGCAGCAACGGCAGTGACTGACTAGAGCAGCATAAGAGAGGACAGTGGTAGCTGACCATTCAGAGGATCACACGAAACTCAATCAAATTACCGGAGTCACAAGATTTTTTTAAGTGGTGGATATTCTCATTGTGTCATTTACTCTTCTGTAGAAGGCCATGAGGTCAAAACATGTGTCAAGAATACTGGTAAAATTCCCAATGCCTGCTTGTGTTTCCATTGCTACCACAGTCCCAAACATGGTACGGATAAAATTCCAAAAAGTAAAAACACCACAATGAAGCTTGCAGTATGATAACCTGTGTCACTCTAGTTATAAACAAAGAGAAGACAAGAGTAGACTACAGTATATAATAAATACAATCTCCTAAAAGCTGTCATTATCAGATATCTGTTGCAAAAGAGAAAATCTAATTACAGTTCATAATATCAGAGAACCCCAATAACCACCTCACCAGGAGCTTTATTCTTACATACCAAATAAAGGATTCAAGACCAAATTTGCTAATGAGAACAAATTAACAATGATTCTGTTGATAAGTGGTAAATGATGCTTTGTTTAAATTCAAACTATGGATATTCCCCAGTACTGTTCCAGGGACAAAGACAAATGATCCCTACCAAAACACAATCCTATATTTTTGGTGATTTTTGTTACCATTTCACTGTTAAGTGTTGATGGTAATTACAAATCTAGTTACATACTTAACTCCTTTACGACAGGGATGCCACTTCTAATATTCATTTGGGTATCCTTCTAAGCTGAAAAAGGAATCAGGCCTGAGTCAAGAATCTGTTGAGACTATCATCAACGAACATCTGAATGAAAGTAAGATGTCTGCCCACTGGATCCCAAAATTCCTCACCTCAGATTTTTAATAAAACTGAGAGGATGTTTCAGTGGAGATTTTGAAGTAATTGGAAGAAGATTTTAAGGATACGAGTAGACTGGTGATGAAACAGGGCAAAATCATCATGCTCAACTAAAAAGATCATGGATAGAGTGTTCTGAGATGCCATGGGTGTCTGTAGTGACAACTTGGAAAACAGTAAGACCATCACTGAGAAGTACAGTACTATGCAAGTTTGACTTCACCGTATGTGGGACTCTATCAAAACAAAGTGCCAGGGAATATTTTCAGCTTTCGTGCTGCTCCCGTATTATAAAGCATCCTCACACATGTCAAGAGTCACAAAGGCTGCAGTTCAGGAGTGTGGCTGTGCAGAACTACCTCACCCTCCCTACTCTCAAAACCAGGACTCGAGTGATTACCACATTGACAACACTGAAACATCTGCTTCAGTATTGATGAGGCACTATAGGAAGCTGCAGAGGCAATTTTTTTTAAATTAAGAAGGTTTTAACAAATTTCTTCCAAAAGGATACCGAGAAGCGAAGCAATACTAAGTGCACTGGGGTGGTGGCTATGTGGAAAAATAAGATAAATATACAGCTGTAGTTTATCGTTTCATTCATTAGGTTTAAACCTTTGTGACTGAGCCTTGTAGTTAATTATCAGAGAGAGGGTTCCTTGGCCTGAGACATCTAAAGATGGTTAAATATATCATCTTTCCTGGCACACAGACATTTACTCCATTTTTCTTTAAGACTAAAACACAATTTGTGAGCTTCTTCCACCACCCACCAAGTGTTGGAGACTTGATATCAAAATATATTAATATCTTATGTACACCTAAAACCATTGACTTAGTTCTTACACTAAAAATTCATAAAATATATACAGTCAACCCTCGCTTTACGCGGTCCCACTTTACGCGTTTCCACGTTTACGCGGTACCCTGCCGAAACCGGAATGCTCACTTTCTGCGGTGTGTGTACCCTTTTACGCGTAGAGCGGTGCGAGCAGGGTGCGCACAAGGTCGCCCAGTCATCAAAACATTACCGAGTTCTTCACCCGCCACCCACCACAGCCGGCCCAAGTCAGTGATAGTGATAATGATAGTGAGGATATGGACTTATATGGACTTTGAGGGGTTTGACAAAGAGGCCATGCATGCCTCTGTGGTGGATAGTGATACAATTGATACAAGTGATACAGGTGAGGGCCAATAATCTGCCCTCTGCCTCGGAACCAAACCCCCATCCCCGTGTGCCCAGCCATCTTTTCTACTAATGTAAGTGTTAAAAAACCTAATATTATTGATATTTCTCTTAATTATTAATTGTGTGTGCATACCATCATAAAATTAAGAAGTTATTTTTACTACAACGTAGGGATTGTGTCTGAAGAAGTGGAGTTTGGGGGTCGGCCCGGTCTCTATTTCAATTAATCCCATATGTTATGTTGTTCACTTTACGCGGGCCGCCGTGGGTTGAATTAACCGCGTAAAGTGAAGGTTCACTGTACTGTCTATAACCAACTATCACCATGGTGAGCACAGATCAATACTCTGTACAAACTGTTAGGTTGTACTGTACTGTATGCATTAATAATAAACCATCCCATTAAAATCGAGGCGAGGTAGTACTGTACTGGTATATATATATATATTAACAAAAATAAATCTTTGAAGAATACCAATCCAAAACTCACCTTGAGCTAAATAATTCTGTAATCAGACAATAAAACTTCATCAACTTGTTGACACTGTGCAGTTCTCAGTGTTATATAAAAAGTGTTAACAGGCCTGACACTAGGATTTCCAAGGATTTTTTTTTTTACCAATTTCACTAGGCATAAGGGAATATTTTTTCTTAGAAATGTCATTTGTATCTGGAACCATAGACAAACTATATGTCCAAACTATTAGTGACACTAATTGGCAAAAATAGACTTGCACCTTCCCCCCAAAGCGAAAGATAGATTTGTTTGAACCCTCCCCTGGTGGCGGGCTTGAATAAGAAATGCACAGAAAGCAAAGTTTGGGATATACAGAGGGAACTGTTAAACTAACATTACCATGTGGGAGTAAAATATGGACTCAGAATGCAAGAAGTATAATTATTAAATGTAATAAAAATGACATGCTTGACAACAACATTGTATATGAGGCAAATATAGGGTGCAGTGAATAAAAAATACTGAAATTAGCGGGAGATGTGAAAAAAAGGGTTAGATAATAATACTAACCAGGGTACTAATGTATGGGTTACCGAGAGAATGGGAAGTGAAACAATGGTAAAATACGTGTTTAATTCATGGGTCAATAGTAGGTGGGCAAGGGGAAGCACAAGATCGAGATGGAGGTGAAGGAGAAAGGTCTCAAAAAACAGCAGAGCATGTGAATGATAGGGAACAGGGCTGAACTTACGTGGTTTATGGGGCTGTCACACCAATTAGACTGGATGGATGAAGGTAAGTGAAGGAAGTTTTTTTTTTTTTATTCTGGTCACCCTGCACCATGGCATATGACATATGATAAATAAGAAACATTTCCTTATGAGGATTTAGCAACAAAAAACACACAGACAAAATCAAGTGGAACTCACATTACAATAGAGACATTATACAAACATATACATCAACAAGTATGGTAGTCACTTTCAGTAAACAATGTACAGTACAGTAATAAAGATTGAGCAAAGGGAATAAGTTTGGTAAAAATTTATGTAAAGAAATACTGTAGTATGAAATAAAGTACTGTACTATAAAACAATTAATAAGCTTTGTGACTAATCTTCAGAAAAATATAGAAAAATCATAAAAAATATTTAGTCTTGATGTTATGAATTACAGTAAGAGCAACAACAGTGAGAGCCTCTCTAATGAACTCTTTTGGCTCTATGTTCACTGTGAGTAATTAAAACTCTTTCAATGACTGAGAGGAGTAACATACAAAGACACAACACAGGACAAGAGAAGGTAGCACAGGGTACTTACAAAAGACACAACGCCACACCACATTCACTAACCTTCTGCAAAAAGGTCACATAAAATATTATCAGTAAAGGTCAAAAAATCTAAAAACATATAAAAATAAAAATATCTTTATAATTAAGTTACTATTCACATTTACACATGGCATAGAAGTACAAAATTACTGAGAAATACTCCCAAAAAATTACTATACGCACTGTACAGTATATGTGTAATGCAATAAAACTACCTTATACAGTACTGGCAATAGGTATGGTAATTAGAATCATAATTCAATTTATAACATGGAACAGAAGACCAGGGTCCAGATTCTCAAAGGTCATATGATCAATATTCCTTATAATGGAAGATGGAAGAATGTACCTAACAGGTTGACTTAAGCTAAAGCCCAAGTTCAATATACAGATCTTCATAAAAGATTCTGTACATTAATTTCACCTCCCACCTGGTGTACTCTGTAGATATAGCTAGTGAAGGCAAAGTCATTGTTTATTTTTATAATATTTTAATTTACCATTTCTGTATTTCAAATTAAGTCAGAAACTTATGTGCAATGTTACCTATTCAATAAAAAGAAATTTCACTTTGCAAAACTTGAAGAATTGGGATTCAACTTATTTGAAACCTGAAGCATGATTTGTAGGAGTAAGGAATCTAGTTGTTAACATAAAAATGTGTACAGTACACCCTTCATGAGCTCTGCAAAGGTTCACTATACATAGCGTTTCAACCTAAAATTACATTGTGCATGGAGAGTGGTTTGCAAGTTTTGTACAGGTTTATGCCAGCTTCATAAGAACCAGATTTGCACATACAGTAGTTTTCTATTTACTACCCCAGGTGTGTTTACACTGGGATAAGGTTTACTGTATATGTACACAGATACACATTGCACTTTTCATTTTTCCAGCAAATATTGCATCACTGGAAAACATCTCACATGCCAGAACTCATCTGAGGCATTGTTCAGACCTCTTCCTCTTGCATTTTATTTAACTTTTCCACAATTTTTAGTGTTGTAATTAGTAAATAAATATTATGTAGTTTGATGAAAGTACAGTACAGGTACTCATACTACATCTTAAAACATAATTAGTTAAAAAATAAAAATAATGAACAAAATATAATATTCATGGGGGAAGAACTTTTTCTACAAGCGTTACAGTATGTCGATGCATATTTTGGAGGATATTATATAGTTGTAAGGTAAAAAGGATATGTTCTGGGAATTTTGTTAAAAAATCACATGTATTATGATTCAAAAGACTTATTAACTGTACAATTTACTGATGTTACACCATAAACGCAAAAGCCAAAGTGACACTTGTTATTAGTAATTACGTACAATATTTGCCAGCGCAGATGTTGACCTAAACTTTCAACTAAAAAATTCACATCTAGGACTATACTTACCCTACAAGTTTACCAACCAAACACTGAACATCTACTGACCACCTAAGCAATATTATAAATACTGGTAACAAAACACTGCAATATGATAAGATGTGATGCAACATAGTAATGCAAGCAAATTTGATATGACTTGAATCCCATCAATTACTGTACTGGGAATTTTATCTGAATCAGGTCCAGTCATAAGGAGCCTTCTGTCCCTTTAGTTAGTATACCAATCAGAGGCAGCTGTGATGTAAGGTCTCTGTCTTCTAGCCCCTTTAAAAAGTGCCTCCCGGCCTTCTACACTCATCCAGACTCCTGATTTATCATGCTTCTACTAAGGTGAACTTCTCAAAATCTTGTGACACCACAAGCAAAAACAATGAAACACAAAGATGGGTTCAAGATAAAAGTTGTAGCAGTGGTTCAAACTACACAATCTATGAATTTAGTTTAAAAAATTTTCTTCAGGTATAACACCTTAAATAATATTTCAGTAATTGTGTAAATCACAAGAATACAGGACTGTATACAGGTTGGACCTCACTAATCTGTTATACCAACAAACCAGTCACAAGTGAGTGTTGAACAATTGTATTATTGTATTCAGAATTAAGCCAACTTGGATGGTTAATCATGTGAGTGTTATTATCACTAGATGTGAGTTAAATATGATGGATACTGTTTGTATGTTTGGTACGAACAACTGATAGTGTGACATGTATTTCCAGGTATGACCAAATAAATATTGTCATGTACTACTGGACTGATCTCATTACCCCACACTCCCACCCAAGTCTGGCCATGAGTGGCTACAGTGTTGTTTTAAAACCACCTCACTATTAACGATAAAAAAGTTTGCATTAACGTTGGCCACCGTCTGACTTAATTCACTGTCACGCGAAACACTGTACAGGTATCCCTTCTTTAACAATTGGGATATGTTCCTAAAAAAAAACCCAGTCGTTAATGCGAAATGATCGCTAAATGAGGGATAACAAACATTATATCCTAAACGAGGGATAACAAGGAATATTATCCATGGAGATGGCACGTAATTGTGTAGCAGAGTCTTCGACTCGCAACCCAGTAGCACTCCAAGCATGTGAGGCTGAGCTGTGAGCTATGTTATCGTTCAACTCATAATTTTGCATAGATATACTCTACATAATTTTCTTTTTTTTTTTTTACTCTCTTACATGCACACACAATCATTCATACAGAATGTGCAAAAAAAATTATCAAGAGGCGAGAAATATGAAGTTGTTCGCAGTCGCATTTCCCGCCTCTGCTGACGGCCGTGTAAATATTTCAATGCGATTCTAATCATTTAAAATGATAGTTTTTGTATAATGTAGTATTACTGATATGTAATTTGTCTTAGTATGCCTTATTATTGGTAAAAATAAGCATACTGTATATTAAATGCATCCTCCAAAAGTGTGAATTTGTTACCAGAGTTTAACAGTTAATTCATGTATAATACTTCTGATAAACTTCCTACATACTTACTGTGTAATCCCAACGATTATGAATAAACCTATTTAGAAATACATCATTATTTCAGGATGAAATCGGACAGGTTTGAAACCTCCAATCAACTGTAATTCTTGAGAAGGGGGAGGGGCATTTTTTCTCAGCTGAGAAAAATGCACTCTACCTGTAGTTGTGGTAATGACAATGCAAAGACAATACCTCTGAAATGTCAGCTGATTTGGTGCACAGGATGTAAACAATCCCTGTACTGGACAGTTCCTAGTGAACGTGCCCGGTACCGATAAGTATTTGTAATGTGTATACCACAGGTACCTATAAATATAATTATATCCTTTTTTATTAAATTAGGTCAATTTTATTAATACAGTACCTGTAATACCAACACATGATTGATAATAGGTCCATAAAGTGATAATGAGCTGTGGTAGTGAGAAACATGATAGCATATATCCAGTGATTTAGCTCTGCCAGTACAGACGGCTATTAACTCTGAAAAAAAAAAATCCAAAATATACCTTGCTAATTACAGTGGGCATCTTATGACCAGGAAAATATGGTGTTTTGTACTGTCCTGTAATGTTCACTCCTCTTGATCTCAGCACACAGCCTCAGATTTATTTTCGTTATTTTCCATGGCAATCCGTGAGTTTTCAAGGGAAGCGAGCTTTAAGGTAATACAGTATGTGACGGTTATTTTTCAATAATTTTTTCTGATAGATACTGTACGTATATGTAACTTTCTTAATTTTCTTTTTTTACTGTTACATGCACACACAGTCATTCATAGAAAATGTGCCCCCAAAAATGAGATGACTATCATAAGCTTAAAAACATAGAGAAAACATTTCTTACATCTGCAGGAGTTAGTGTTGTATCATGGGAGGGGAAGGGGAGAGGAAGGGGGTATGGTTTGGGGATCCCCTACTAGGCCAAGCTGTGAGCTGCATTATTGGTCTTTTTCTACTCATTATTTTGGGCAGATACAGAATACAGTGAACCCTCACTTTACGCGGTTAATTCAACCCACGGCGGCCCGCGTAAAGTGAGAAACGCGAAAAGTGAACAACATAACATATGGGATTAATTGAAATAGAGACCGGGCCGACCCTCAAACTCCACTTCTTCAGACACAATACCTACGTTGTAGTAAAAATAACTTCTTAATTTTATGATGGTATGCACACACAATTAATAATTAAGAGAAATATCAATAATATTAGGTTTTTTAACACTTACATTAGTAGAAAAGATGGCTGGGCATACGGGGATGGGGGGTTGGTTCCGAGGCAGAGGGCAGATTATTGGCCCTCACCTGTATCACTTGTATCAATTATATCACTATCCACCACAGAGGTTGCAGGGCCTCTTTGTCAAACCCCTCAAAGTCCATATAAGTCCATATCCTCACTATCATTATCACTATCACTGACTTGGGCCGGCTGTGGTGGGTGAAGAACTCGGTAATGTTTTGATGACTGGGCGACCTTGTGCGCACCCTGCTCGCGCCGCTTACACAACATGGCGGATAGCGGGAGAGGGCGGGAGGTTTGGATCCAAAAATGGCGCGGCTCGCCAGCCGCTCTCCGCGTAAAGGGGTACACGCACCGTGGAATGTGAGCATTCCGGTTTCGGCAGGGTACAGCGTAAAGGTGGAAACGCGGAATGTGGGACCGCGTAAAGCGAGGGTTGACTGCACATATTTTATTTTTAATTTTTTTTACTACCTGTATTACATGCACACACAATTGTTCATACAGAATGTGGCAAAAAAAATACCACAAAGTAAAAAACAAAAAGTGAATAAATATTTCTTCTCAGAGCGGGGGGGAGGGAGAAGGGGAGGGGGAGAGGGGCACGGAGGATCTCTCAACTGTTCTCTGTCTCGTGTCCCATGAAATGATTGCCAAAAGGCAGCACATTATTTTTTTTTTTATTATATTTATTACATCAGGTTACTGAAGAGATATGTCCTTGAAAAGTGAACTGTAACATGAACCCCACTTTCTCATTGACTTTCATTATACAGTGGGGTATGCTATAACGAACGGATCCTACTACGAACGGTTTTACATATAAAATTGAGAATGCTATAACGAACGCAACTCCTACAACGAATGTGGATGAATACGGGACTATTTTGCCTAGCGCATGAATATTGTTGTACAGCGACCCACAACAAGAGAGTCAGGTGCCATCTTTGTCTCATTGTGTAGCCAGTGCACCACTGTTATTGTTGAAATTTCGTCTTTTGATGTGGAAATAGAGTTATTTGTATAAATATTTTGTTATACAAGTATACAATTGTGACAATGAATCGTCCAAAGCGAGTAAGAAAGCTCATAACTCTTGAAACTAAGAAAGAAATCATAAAGAAACGTGAGGATGGAACAAGCATTGCGAAACTTAGTGATGAGTATGGGATGGCTAAATCGACTATATGTACGATTTTAAAGAATAAAGAGGAGTTGAAAACTGTGCAAGTGGCTAAGGGAATCTCTTAGACTTAGCAAAGCAAGGTGTAATGTGATTGAAGAGACGGAAAATTTACTCTTAGTGTGGATAAAGGAGAAAGAAATGGCAGGTGATAGCATTAGTGAAGTTATAATTTGTGAGAAGGCCAGACAATTGTTTGAGGGCCTTAAAGCCAAGACTCCCAGTTCAAGTAATAGTGATGTGCCAGTGTTTAGGGGTACCAAGGGGTGGTTCACTGGTTTCAGAAGGAGGAATAAATTACATAGTGTTGTGAGACATGGTGATGCTGCTAGTGCAGATAAGGAAGCAGCTAAGGAACACCATGACATTTTTTTGAATGTTATTAAAGAGGGAGGTTTTGTTTCTCAGCAGGTATTCAACTGTGATGAAACTGGACTTTTTTGGAAAAAAATGCCTAGCCGTACATACATTACCAAGGAGGAAACTTCTGTCCCTGGCCATAAGCCAATGAAAGACAGGCCTACCCTCCTTCTTTGTGCTAATGCTTCAGGTGACTGGAAAATAAAGCCACTCCTTGTGTACCATGCAGAAAACCCCAGAGCTTTCAAAAACATTAGGAAGACCCGCCTTGGTGTTATGTGGCGGTCAAACCCAAAGGCTTGGGTGACCAGGAATTTATTCTCTGAGTGGGTGATTGAGGTGTTTGGACCCAGTGTTCGGGAATACCTCAGGGAGAATAATCTTCCACTGAAAGCTTTGTTGGTGATGGACAATGCACCAGCCCACCCTCCTAATTTGATGGTTGAATTGCCAGAGGAGTTCAACTTCATCACTGTGCACTTCTTGCCACCCAACACAACACCTCTCATCCAGCCCATGGAACAACAGGTAATTTCTAACTTTAAGAAGCTGTACACAAAGGCACTGTTTAGAAAATGTTTTGCATCCACTTCTTCCAGTGATGTTAACTTGAAGGAATTTTGGAAGAGTCACTTCAATATAGCAGATGCTGTTTTTTAATTACCTCAGCCTGGAAAGAGGTTACTGTGAGGTGTCTTTGTGCTGCTTGGAGGCCATTGTGGCCTGAATGTGTCCTTCAAAGAGACTTTGAAGGCTTCGAAGAGTTAGAAGAAGAGGCTGTTGTTCATGAAATTGTGTCTCTGGGCAATTCCATGGGCCTGGAAGTGGATGATGATGATGATGTTGAGGAGTTGGTGGAAGAGCACAGTAAGGAACTGTCCACTGAGGAGCTGCTTGAGCTTCACAAAGAACAAAACGAGACACTGAAACGGAGCTTATTCTGAGGAGTCAGGGGAGGAGAAGGACAAGGAGGAAAGCCGCATCATTCCAGCCAAAGATCTCAAGGATGCGTTCTTTTGCTGGAGCAAACTGTCCAAACTTGCTGAGGATTATCATCCTGATGTTGGTTCTGTGCAAAAGGCCATCAGTGTGTTAAATGACAATGTTATGAACTACTTTTGGAAGGCCACAAATCAAGGTTGAAGCAGCCAACCCTGGATTCCTTCTTTACAAAGGTAACAAAAGAACCTACAGACAAAGTGCCTGTGAGACAGTCACCAAAGAGGGCTAGGAAGGATGACTCCTCTCCTTCCACCTCTTCTTCATAATTCTCTCCTCCCCCCTCCCCCTCTGCCTCCTGTCCTGCATGCTGAACAATACTAAGGTAAGATAAAGTACCGTATTTTTTTACATTTTCCACAGAATTTTTTCAGTGTTAAGTGGTTGTATTTGGGGACCTGGAACGGATTAATCCTATAACGAACGAATGCTATAACGAACGAGGTTCTAGAACGAATTAGATTCGTTATAGCATACCCCATTGTATAATCGAAAATGTGCTCCTAAAGAAAAAGTTTTGGCAAAAAGAAGCAAGACAAGCACACCAAATAAATTATGTCAGTGGTTTTTATTTACTTAGAGCAATTTTTGTGTTGAAATTTGTGAAAATTTACCCCATTTCCGGAGGTCACATTTATGGTTTGTATCACGAATTTAGTGGTCATAATTTACACATTGCATATGAGCGAATTTCCGCAACCTGAGTTTCCATAATGTGAGGATACCAGTATTATTTTCATTTATTCCACACATTTATTGTGATTGTAAGGTACTTTCACTCTGTTTTAGTAAAAAGTGCTTTTGCTGTTTTTGGGACTGTGAAGTGAAAAGTGTAACTTTGAAAATGTCTAGCAAGCTGTTGCTGAGACTCATGTGCCTGGGAAGGGAAGGCCAGGGTGCCCAGGAAAACTCTCTCTCTAGAAGTGAAGCTTGACATTATGAGGCAGGCAGGCTTGTTTTTAATGATGTGGTGAGTGTTGTTTAATTGTTTTCTATTTATTTTACTCGTGTATGAATTTATTTTTTATTTATTTTTGGTGATACATGTGTGTGTGTCGGACTGCTGGGAACGTATCCCATTGAACCAGATGTTATAATGAATTCGATTTACGATATTTTGACTTGCGATGGGGTTTTCAGGAACATAACCCCCTCCTAAATCAAGATTTACCTGTATTATACAAAGACAGCTGATGAAAACAGTTTCCCCGGCACATCATCTGCTAGTAGATATTTAAAATTACGATACAGTACTGTATTGTGAATATTAGCATCTAGTATTTTATTGCCTCCCATGACTTGTCATAGACGTAAATACGAAATACTTGAAGAATCAGGGATTACTGTACAGTACACATATAACCAAGTATGACATGACGATAAAAACAAAATATTGGTAAAAACTGCTGTACAATAAGTGTGTACTGCTGCATATAAGTAGTGGTGGATACAGTACAGTGCGGTAGTACTGTACAGTATATATATTACGAGGAGTTCCTACAATTCTAAAGATATAAAAACTTTAGAATTGCAAGCAAAACACATATACCTGTATTTGTACCAATATACGGCTATCTGACATTAATGCCTGTGTCAGTACCTCAGAATCCTCTAATGATATAAAAAATAACAGATAATACTTTGCAACTTTGAGGTTTTCATTTGTAAAACAAGGCACAGGATACACATAAAGAAAAATTTTCATATCTATGAAAATGTGTTAATCAGGTGTTCATAAATCAGGGTCTACCTGTACAGTACTCTTATTCATCAGTCCAGTTAAGAATTACTCTGTAGTCTCCCTGTGTCTTAGGAACTTGAGAAAGCCTACACAATACATGAAACAACTATCTTCCAATCTCTGAATAACCAAGTGGTCTAGCATTTCAGAGACAAAATTTCATTAAGCATCTGAATCCAGCTGTTCTGGAATCTTAATTTCCACTTAGGGACTCTCTTAAACACCTTAGAAACTCAGGGATTACTTTCACACATATTGTGGAACAAGAATAAATCTATCCCTAATGGGTGCACCTGACTCGGGTCTCACACACACACTGACGACAATATGTACTGTACTATATCCTCCCACACCTCCAAACTGATGGGGGACTCAGTGGTGGCCACCAACAGCAAGTTAGTATTTGTTTCATGTCTGTCTATCTATTATCTATCTACATTATCTATCGAGAACATAAACTTGGGAGCGGAAATAAGGGGGAGGGGCGCCAATGCCAATAGTGGCCCCAGATGCTTGAGACACATGCTACGCCCCTGACAGGAACGTAACTCTTTATGTATCAGTAAGTCGAGGAGTGTCTATATATGTATCATAAATCTAATCAGTCTAATTATGAAATTGGCTGTAGGCAAGATATCAGTTAGTCTTTTTGAATTTGCAATTGTTATATATTTTTTTTTATTTAAAAATACTGTATTTGCACTAATATGAAGATCTGGAAAAGTACATCGCAACTTTGAAAATACAGTACAGGGGTACGGTATATAGACTGCTAAAAATAATTTTGTATTTATGAATTCTTTAACCTAATCTTCAAAAATGAAGCACCTGTAGTGTTGGTAAGGTTACAAGAAAATGAAATTTTCATAATTGTAAAAGAGTACCTCCTGTACAGTTCTGTCAATATTTGTTTGCCAATTTATATTATGCATATATTATTATGGTACAGTAGTTTTAAACTAAATGGTTTTTCCTAATTTTTGTAATGACTTATAAATAACATAGAGTACAGTGTAGCTTTCTCGGAATACTCTAAGATTACACATTGATGCAGAGCTTCTACTGGACACATTACTGTAATTGAGTGTGTTACACTGTCTTTAATAAAACTATATTCACATACTGTTCTGTATTTTCAATTTCTAATCACAAGGAGTAGATAAACAATCTGTAGTGTCATTTCAGTATCTAAATTACATCCTAGACCACAAGTGAGTTTACAAACTGAGAAAAAAAGAAAAAAAAAGGGGGGGGGGGGAGTTAGCAAACAGCTACTGAGCCACACATATTTTTCCCTTTTAATTGTTAAGAGTTAAAATCAGTTGCATCAAGAAGGATACAGGAACATAACCTCACAATCCATCAGGTTTTGACTGTATTCTCATTCCTAAAAATGAGTGATTAGTTTTAGTTATGCAGTATTCTGCAATAAAGGAAACAGAAAGGCAGGCTTACCCTTGGTCTATCCGGTCCATTGGGCCAAGTTGTCCCATCATTGGGTGTGGGCCAGGTCCATGCATGGGACCATGCATAGGGCCATGCATAGGAGGGCCCCCAGGTGGACCCCCTGGTCCAAACGGTGGACCACCAGGACCAAATGGCCCTCCAGGGCCAGTAAAGCCAGGCCCTGGTCCTCCAGGGCCTGGAAATGGTCCAGGGTGACCAGGCGGACCATTCATCATTTGGGCCTGTTGCTGCTGCCCCAACATTCCCATGGTACTGTTTGGACCATTCATGTGGGGTCCCGTGGGTGTGGGACTACTATAGTTTGAGGAACAAGGGAAGGGCATGGGTGATGGCCCTGGTCCAGCCATGCTGGTTGCAGCCAGGCTGGTAGGAGGACCTCCACCAGGGGGACCAGGGAAGGGAGAAGGGCCTCCCGGGCCGGGAGTGGAGGCATTTGAAGGAGCGGGAGAGCCAGGAAAAGGGACAGATGGGGGGCCTGAGGTGGGCGGCCCCGAAAAACTGTTAGGAGGCGTGTTGAAGGGTTGTGGGCCACCAGGGCCCGTAGGAAAATTGCTAGGATTTGATGCAGGGCCTTGAGGACCAGTTGGTGGACCCGGAGAGGGTCGGTTCAGTGTATGACCAGGAGGGTTAAATGTTGGAGTGGACGGCCCAGAGAAGGTATTTGGTGTGGCAGGGTTAGGGAACCCCGTGGGACCAACAGAGGGGGGACCGTGTGGCTCTGAGGGGGGTCCTGGGGGGCCCTTCCAGCCGAGACTTGCTGGCTCCGCCTCCAGGGTGGCGACGTGACCCTCACGCACACACACCCACACACTCGGCAGCCTGAAATATGCAAAACTTTATTAGTGAAAATTATTAAGATGTTATAAATCACTGACTTTTTCCAAATAATGTGGTACATGTAATTTTTAACAAATAATACACAGGAGCAAATAGGTGAATAAATTTCAGATGACTATACTTAAGAGATGACCCCAGTCAGACCTTTAAAACAGTTTTGATAATCTAGAATACACTATTTCCTGGCATGTTGGCACCAACTAAGACTTCACTATACTCTTTCCACACTAACCTGGCCTGTAGGCCCCACCCCTCTTCTACAGGGTATACTAATAGCTGATTGGTTCATAGAAAATTCAAAGTAAAATGTGTTCACAATTGGTAAGCAGATCTGTTATTATCTAAAATAATGTTAAATAACTGGACTATCAAAATGCAAATCATTTCAAGGCATTAACACTTCAGAGAGGGTGTCAGAATATTATAAATATTTATTATAAAAGGTCGATATAAATAATAGCTTATATACGCGCAGTATGGGAGAGGTAAAATGCTCAGGGGAACCAATCAGCTATTTGTAGCTATAGACGAAGGGCATGGCTTATGGGCCAGCTTAGTATGGATATACTATAGTTATAACTGTTAGTAATCAGGTACAGAAGGTTTAAACATAATATAGTAAGATCTCTTTTTTTGCGAGTAATACAGACTGGAAAATTTGCGCCAAATTCAAATTCGCCAAATGCAAATACATAAATTAATGGGGAAAATAACAATATAAACTGGCCACTCTACATCAACCTCTGATTTTCCCATTTATAACCTCAGAATGATACAAATTCTGCCTTTATTGACCTGATTGTGCTTTCCAGAAACTAGTTTTTAGGCCTTCCACAAGTAACTTAATCACACACTGCTTATCCTGCATTGAGTACTTGGCAAACTTAACTCCCTTATGATAGTTACGCTTCTCATTTTCCTTATTTGGCTGCTTAGGTGAGTCTGTCCCACCCCTACCAGCACCAGTACGACCCCCAGTAAAGATGGAGGCCATTATCTTGACTCGACAGGTGGTAGCACCACCCAAAAACGCACACAATAACAGCCCAGGCGGTCGCTAGCATGGTGCGGGCTACAACATGATAGTTGCGTTCTTGTAAACCTTTTACATTCACCACTGGCAATTCGACCACCAGAACGCGTCTTGGAAACATTCTTCTTACCTTGTCTTTCCATATTCATCGCTAACACAACAAAATTGGAGAAAACAGCGAAAATCACAGAGCAATTGAGAGAAACCGTGCGATTCACCTGATCACGTGATGTAAACAGAGAGCGCTGGTGTAAACCGTTATTAGTCTTCACTTCGAAACATTCTTTTTACTTATGGGTAACAGCTAAGTTTGCAAAAAAAAAAGAAATTGACAGAGTACCTCTCAAAAAACACTTCACAAACAAAAGACAAGAATCAATTGAACATGTGATGTCAAATGTGAACTGTAAACATTGCATAACCCCGCGCCACGCTTAAAACGTTGAGGATGGAAACGTGCTATAGCCAACTTTTGTATGCAAAATTTCACGTTTTACAAACAGCGTTCCCCTATACATCAATCGCGTTACAACCAATTCGCATTGACAAAACACGCATTGTAGCAGAAATGACTAACTGGTAGGAGGGCTGTGACATGATTCAAGACGGTGGCCAGCATTCAGCTTGCTGGTTCTCACGTTCAGCTGGCTGGATCTCGCGAAATTCACGATATTTTACACCAAATATAAGACTTGGTTACATTAGGTAGTGCTCGCGAAATTCAAAAATGCGAAATATGAGATCTTACTGTATTCTTTTTATATATACAGTATATATATATATATATATATATATATATATATATATATATATATATATATATATATATATATATATATATATATATATATATATATATATATATATATATATATATATATATATATATATATATATATATATATATATATATATATATATATATATATATATATATATATATATATATATATATATATATATATATATATACAGTTTTACCCCGCCTAACGCGGTTTCACTTAACGCGTTTTCGCATATACGCGGTGCCTTGCCAAAGCTGAACTTTCACTTAACGAGGATTTTTTCCACATATACGCGGTGAGTGTCCGAGACGCTATTTTTAGATTTGCCCCACCCGCCACCCTGCCTGACTGCCTGTTTTAGCTCATAAAATTCATACAAATTACCAGGCCAGAATATAATTTACATTGCTGGAATTCTTATAATTTGGTGATCATTTTGAATATAAACATCATATATTTTGCTTTAAACTTACAATTTTTAGATAAAATTTTTTCTCTAGGTAACTATGGTATCTTTTGTGCAAAATATATGACATTTATATTCAAAATATTCCTGGTCTTACAAGGAATCCAGCAATGTCAATTATATTATCCTAACTTTAGTTTGAGGTATTATTTATTAAAATTTAGTGGTTATCCCACACATCTCCTTGGGACGGTTGGTGGGGGGTGGGGGGGAGGGACCAACCGACCATCTGTTACCCTGTGAAGAATTATTATTTTTTTTATTAACTGAAGATATTTGTTTTAGCTCATAAAATTCATACAAATTACCCGGTCAGAATATAATTTACATTGCTGGAATTCTTATAATTTGGTGATCATTTTGAATATAAACATCATATATTTTGCTTTAAACTTACAATTTTTAGATAAAAATTTTTCTCTAGGTAACTATGGTATCTTTTGTGCAAAATATATGACATTTATATTCAGAATATTCCTGGTCTTACAAGGAATCCAGCAATGTCAATTATATTATCCTAACTTTAATCTGAGGTATTATTTAATACTAAATGTTAAAAACTCTGGAAGGGAGGATTGGTGGGGGGTGGGGGGGAGGGTTGGGACTGACCGCGCGGTTGGAAGAGGGGGGGAGGCAAGGTGGGGTACTTTGATTGACAGATAGTGTCGTGAAGATTATTTTTTTTTTATTAACTGAAGATATTTGTTTTAGCTCATAAAATTCATACAAATTACCCGGTCAGAATATAATTTACATTGCTGGAATTCTTATAATTTGGTGATCATTTTGAATATAAACATCATATATTTTGCTTTAAACTTACAATTTTTAGATAAAATTTTTTCTCTAGGTAACTATGTTATCTTTTGTCCAAAATATATGACATTTATATTCAAAATATTCCTGGTCTTACAAGGAATCCAGCAATGTCAATTATATTTTCCTAACTTTAGTTTGAGGTTATCCCACACATCTCCTTGGGACGGTTGGTGGGGGGTGGGGGGGGGAGGGAGGGACGACCGACCATCTGTTAGCCGGCTGTGTAGTGTGAGAGGGGGAGGGAGTTGAGTCCATTATTTGAATGGACATTAACTTGGCGACTGTATTTCTCTATTTCTCTTAAGTATTAATTGTGTGCATGTACCATCATAAAATTAAGATGTTATTTTTACTACAACATAGGTATGTGCCTTCAAAAAGTGGAGTTTGGGGGTCGGGCCGGTTTCTATTGGAATTAATCCCATATGTTCTGTTGTTCACTTAACGCGGATTTCACTTAACGCGGGACCCTCTGGGTTCAATTGACCGCGTTAAGTGGGGTACAACTGTATATATATATATATATATATATATATATATATATATATATATATATATATATATATATATATATATATATATATATATATATATATATATATATATATATATATATATATATATAGTATATAATAAAATAAAAGTATCCTGTGAGTTGTAACCATTACCACACACACCATGGGCAGAGACTGCCTGTTCCCAGGAAGCTTGCTACGTTTTTACCGTAGAACACTTTCTCACCAACACAAATATGGATTCAGACCCAAATCCATTATTATCAAAGAGAGCAGTAAGGATTCAGGTCAGGGGTCTTTAACTCATGAGCTTCAAAACCCAAGTTGACGACAAGGGATAATGTTACCCAACTCTCAGTTTCTTGTTGATACAGAACTATGTTCAAGAGAGAAGTGAGGAATAAAAAGAGATTTCATGCCTCACTCCTCCATTCATGACCTATGGGGCCTTACTGATGAACTGTAAGACTAAAGAAACTCATGAATGGGAGGAGATAGTCACGTTAAGCCTACTACTGTACTTGAATGCATCACAACTAGGAACTCACCCCTTCTAACAGAATAAAAGAAATAATGAATGTGATTTTCAGTGTCAAACAGTATAGAGAGGGAAGTTCTTTGTTCAAATATTTTTCACTATCCATCTATTATGGCTCAAGTATCTCATTAACATATACTGTACAGTATATTCTTAACTGATTCACTCTCAGAAATGCCAAAGAAGAGATGAGATGCTTAAGTTCTGTGTCTCATAAACTTAATGGCAATCTCATTTTATAGCCATGACCTTGCTTGTGTTAAGTACAAGTTAAGTTTATGGGGTTAAAATCAATATTAACCCCATAAAAAAGCAGTTGAATCTAAGCAGTCTGGTTAAATGGAAGTTAATTTTCATAGATACTTTGAGGTGCATACCTCCTTGTTAGGGTAATTTTGCTAGATTCACTTGACACATGACCACTTCCTTCCCTTTTCTAGCTAGGTCACTTATAGGTCACTCAGTGAATAACCTAAATGTTATAAATCAAGATACAGAGTATGAAATCCTATGATATAGTCAAGAGGAAGAGAAAACTAACATAGAATCCCTCTCTACCTCCTCAGTGTGCCTTCTTATTGCCAGGAAAATGTGAGGGTTAAATTATGGAGTTTAGTTACAACCAATTGGCATGTAAGACATGAGTGATATGACTTCAGAGTTCACATTGATTAAACCTGTTGACTCTGGTTTGCTAGACAAGTAATTGCTGAGTTGCAAGGGAAAATTATCCAAATAAGAGAAAGCAGCCTGCTGTTATGGCATAAAGTCCCTTGGACAAGGTGGGCTCTACCAGGTGTTCAAGTATATGAACCTCACAAGTCAC